AATAAATCTGCAAAAATGTCAACGATTCTGTGTTTTTCTGTCAATATGGGGTGCTGTGTGTACATTAATGAGGAAAAAAAATTAACTTAAATGATTTTAGCAAATGGCTGCAATATAACAAAGAGTGAAAAATTTAAGGGGGTCTGAATACTTTCCGTACCCACTGTATATATATATATATATATATGGTATAATATAAGGTATAATATATATATATGTGTGTGTGTGTGTGTGTGTGTGTGTGTATATACAAACAATTGCCAAAAGTATTGGGACCCCCTCTTCTAATGACTTGTACATATGGGTACAAGACACTTCCAAAACTGTTGCAACAGAGATGGAAACACAATTTTTAAATACATTAATTATGTTTCCATCTTTGTTGCCACAGTTTTGGAAGTGCATTTTTCTGTTCTAAAGAAGGGGGTGTCCCCTTTTGTCCATATAGTGTATAAAAGTCATTGGGGTTTGGTGATGAGTTTTTGGCTCAAGGTCTGCATTTATCTATCTATCTATGTGTGTGCGTGTGTGTAAAAAGTGTAATTTCTAGTGGCAGATTCCCAAACTTTTTTGTCAGCCAAACCTCTTTGATGTAACAAATTTGCTTTAAGTAAACCCTGAGATTTTAAGTTTATATTTCAATAATTTAACAATATATTCATATGATTCAGGGTTCTTTGACGTTAGTTAATGGTCACATGACATACAGGTCAAGAAATAAAATATTTCATGCTTTTTATTTAACATTTTTTAAACAATTTAATACAACAGTCTACTTCAAAACCACAAAAAAAAATTTGCGATTATATACAGTCATGGTCAGAATTATTGGCACCCTTAGTAAATATGATCAAAGAATACTGTGAAAATAAATCTGCATTGTTAATAATTTTGATCTTTTATTTAAAAAATTCACATAAATCTAACCTTTCATTGGAGAATAAGAATTTTTTTTTTAAGGTTTTCTGACCCTGAGACTCTGTGATTTTCTGCAATTCTCCAGCTGTGGTCTTTGGAGAGTCTTTAGCCACTCAAACTCTCCTCCTCACCGTGCATTAGGACGATATAGACACACGTTTTTACTCATAAGAATTTCTAGGGGTGCCAATAATTGTGTCCAACATGTATTTGAGAAAAACATTTATTTCATAATGAGATTTTCCCCCATTTCAATTGTTTTAGTTCAATGAAAGAAAGCTTGTTTGTTTTTGTATTACCAAATTCTGACACAAAGTTTAAACAGGTTAGTTATTTTTATGTTTTCACTTTTGTCATTAAAAATAAAAACAAATAAGCAAATTACAAACAATAGGACAAAGATACAAAAAAGGTAAAGAGTGTTTTGATATTTTGGGTAGGTATTTAGGTTCAAAATAGAAGAGAATTTGAATAATTACATGTAAAATAAAACACTGCACTGCCTTCGACTCTATATATTGAATATACATTGAACTTAGTGTTCCCGTGGCTCAGTGGTAGAGCATTGCTTTAGCAGCGCAAAAGGTTGTGGGTTCAATTCCCAGGGAACACACATACTGGTAAAAAATTTATAGCCTGAATCCACTGTAAGTCGCTTTGGATAAAAGTGTCTGCTAAATGCATAAATGAATTATTAATTATAAATTATAATTATTACATTGATCCTTTTTTAAAGCTACAAAAGTTATTCAGTCAAAAGAAGTATGAAATATTCTCCTTTTCTTTTGTTGTTATATTAAGATTAACAGCATAGCAGCAGGTATATTGGGCTGCTGTCACTATAAGACAGAATGCACAGGTTCAATATACTGATGCACATCCATTTTTGTCCCTACTGTTTTCATACTTAACTGACTGTGGTTAAGTGAGTACTCACCAGGAGGGGTTTTTGGAATTTTGATGAACACTGATCTGTTGTTAGATTCTGTACAATTCTGAGTGAAATTAAACGGAGAAGCCTCCCCTGCAGCATTTATTCAAACAAACACAAAATTAAAAATAGATGACACATCAGATGACCCATTAGAGAGATAGACACACATTTATGTTTGTGGAAACAAAATCTCATAGTACAGAACCACATATTCAAATGAGGTTCACAGTATGTCTTAAGTAGTTTGGCTGAATTGATTCCGGTGTTTGATTATGTACCTCAAAACAGAATGTTACCGGTCCCACACAGCGTGTTGACCTCCATTTTAGTGCTGCGCTGTGATATAAACCCTATTTATCAAACCCTCCTCCCTTTTCCTCCCTCCTCTCTTCCGTTCCTCCCCCTGCCTCTCTCTCGCTCTCTTTCCTCCTCACTGTGTGGATGTGAGGCAGGTGGCCCAGCAAGAGAAGTTTGACACAGTTTCTACATCTGATGTTTAATGTACTGTAGTGCTGATGTTGAACGTGTGCGTGACTGTTCTGGGCCAAAGTCAGCTTGTTCTGCACCACTTCTCATGACACAATGCATCTGAAACTTAAACTATGTCAAAATGCAGGAAAGTGTGTAGAACAGTGTTTCCCAACCATAGCTTCATTCATAAGGCTCAAGTACCTCTTCATCAACACCTAATAAGAAATATTTTATTTTTTCAATTATGTTTTACTGGATATCATTCATCACTATCATTAATAATCTATTAATATTATAAAATATTACAACATTCTTAAGTATTATAAATTAAATATTTTACAATATTACTACATATTACATTATTTTTCCTTAAAGGGAATTGAACAAAATAATTAAAGTTGAGGTCATAAGAATATTAGATCATATTTCTTTGACAACAAAATAGGACAGTTGCTTTTAAAACATTTTCTGTCTAACCAATAGAATACAGAAACTGAAACCACAAACCTTTTAAGCAAAGACACCAAATAAATGCTGTGAAAGATCTGGTTTTAAAGTGTGTTTATTGCAGACTGTAGTAAAATACTAAGTGGAAAATAAATGATTCTATTAATGTCAAGCCTACATTTACCAACCTATCTCCTCTGAGATATAGTATTTTTAAAATACCCAATTTCTTTCTAAATCAGATTACATTTGACTTGAAGGTGTATTTAAAGGGATAGTTCACCCCAAAATAAAATCTGTCATTATTTACTCACCCTCATGCCACTCTAAACCTGACTTTCTTTCTTCTGCAGTATACAAAAGAAGATATTATGAAGAATGCTGGCAACCAAACAACCAACTGACTTCCAATGGATAGACCAAACAAAACACTGAGGCATTTCTCAAAATATCTTCTTTTATGTTACGGAACGACATGAGGGTGAGCAAATGATGACAGAATTTTAATTCTCGAGTGAACTCTCTCCTTAATGTGCCACCGAACCAGCTAGGACTGATCATTTTAGACTTATTCGTCAAGTGTGTGTCGGATTCAGGATGGTCCCAACCTGATTCCCTCCTCTCCCTCACACACATTCCCCTCAATTCTCCTGCATGTATCACCCCCTCCCTCCACCCCTCTCTCCATCTCCCTCTCACTGCAATGAAACTCAGCATGTTTGCTATCTCTCCCTCTCACTTTCCAGCCGATTTCAATGTGCAACACGATACCACAAGTGCCTCTCCAACAGTAGAAATTTTCGGCCTCCGTAATAGCCGTAAACAGGCTCTATCAATGCATTTCATCGCTCCATCATCTCAGCCTCCCACACACAGACACCATGCAGTAGCATAAATCAAGAGATGTGGGTTGGAATCCACACACACGCAAGTCCGCACACCCCAGTGAACGCACAGTGTGACAGCTCAGACGTTTAACTCAACATTTCCCTCAACCAGCCAAATTCATTTCACACATCCCAAACGTGCGGCGACAATCGCCAGCCACACACCAGCAACCCCCTTCCTGGTGCTGCAATTACCCCTCACACTTAATACACCCGCTCACGTGCACCCTGCCGGAAAGTAGAAGAAAAGAAGTGGGTCTTACTGAGGGTTCGAGAGCCGATACATCCCATGGTTTATTCACAAAGGCCCTGGATACAAGCAAGGAAGCGCTAGCCTTTCACCATACATTCTCTCCTCTCTCTCCTTTCTCTTTTCTGGCTGCTGATTCTCTCCACTCATGCTGCTCCCTCCCTCCCTCTCTTTCTCTCTCTCTCTCTCTCTCTCTCTCTGTGCAGTCAGGGTGTCTTACCTCTTAGCCTGCGAGTCAATGTGTTAAAAATGAGCACTTATTATAACACTGGTGTAGTTATAATCACAAATTATAGGTATAATATTCATTTTATGCACTTCATTAGGGTTGAAAATTGTGTAAAGATTTTTAGGTGTATTTGTAGTAGATAATAGTTCAAAATCATAATCTCACAGAGAACTGAAAATGCAAAGTTGATTTTTGTGTGTATTTATGTGTGGGTCATACAGGTTTTCATTGTTATTGCCACAACTGTGCGCTGCTGCACGGATAGGATTCTCTTGCCCCGTATCTCTAGAGGGCTCAAACAGCTCCCACAATGCAGTACAGATGTCTCTCTCTCTCTCTCTCTTTGCCCTGACCACTGAACCCAGCTCGCACAAACACTCATTACCGCAATACTTGAAAATCATACAATATCGCCACAGGATATTCCTATGAGGGCTCTCAAAACTTGAAAGCACTCTCTCTCTCTTTCTCTCTCTCCTGTCATTCTGTTCATTCTGGTCCCTCCCTCTGTCTTGGTGGCAAAAACACACAGGAGGAGTGGCTTTGTTATCTGGAGATCACTGCCGCCCACTCTATCTCTATAACTCTGCTTTGTCCTTTCCTTCTTTCCATCCTGACCTGCATATTCATTTAATTACCATGAGGTGATGTCTTTATCTTTGCTTTTCCCTCTTTCTCATGTATAATACATGCACGGGGCTGTTTCTCTATGTATTTGTCATAAGCTCAGTGATGCAGAATGGGTATAAAAGAGGGAGGGTCAATCCGTTTTTACTTGAGTTCAGCCAGAGAGAAATGGAGGGGTTGAGAATTTCAAAAAGAAACAGAATGAGATTGAAAGTAGAAAAGAGTAAGAGAAAGGGGCAAAGGAGAGGTGAGGGAGGGAGATGAGGCACAAGAAGAAATTTGGGCAGAGAGGGAGAAAGAGAGAAAGGGAGAGAGAAAGAGAGAGAGATGGAGGGAGGGGGATGGTTAATTCTGTATGCACACAAAAAGACGGTTACGCAGCAGTCCAGCTGTAATCTACCCAATCCTGGAGAGTCGTACTGTGCCCTGGCTATTTATAGATTATCGCCTTTTCTACTATGCGTGTGTGTATGTGTTCTCTAATGTGATGTGGTGGTGCTTTGTAAATTGGCCTGCTCTATTGTATGAGCCAATGAATTTGTCCTGATCAAATTAATTAGAATTCTCTATTTGATCTGTGGACAATAATACATGTTAATTGCTAGACTGTGAAAGCAGGATCTATTTAACCTGTGCGTTTGTGTGTGTGTGTACATGTGTGTGTGTGAGTGAGTCAGATGTTATCTACATTTTAAGGGCCACATGTCCCCACAAGGATAAGAAAACAGATTAATAAACATATTACATGAAATCTTGAATAAAAGAAAAAAGAAAGAAAAGAAAATATAGGTCAGTAACATTTTAAAGTAAGGTTAAATTTGTTTATTTCTCATGAACTAACAATGACATATTTTTACAGCATTTATTAGTCTAGGTTAGTGTTAATAAATATTATAAAAAATATAAATTCATGATAATGTAATTAATCAATATTTAAAAAATAATATTGTTTATTTATAATTATTTTTTATCACAATACCTTAATATCAATGTTAAAACTGTAGTATATGTGGAAATCAAGAATAATAAATGCTGTAAAAGAATTGTTCATTGGTAGTTCATAATGCATACTATATTAACTAGAATCTTATTGTATAGTGTTAGAAAAATGTAAATAGATAAGCAGATAGAACATAACATTGTTTAACTAATTATCATTTGTTATTTCAGCTTGATATTCTGACTTAAAACAATGTACTGTTACATTATGAATTAAATAAAATAAGGATAGGAAAAAATCACATACATTCTGGGATCCAGCTGATGGTCCCCGTGAGGAATAATGTTGTAAAATGTATAAAAAAAATGTATAGAGTTTCTGCAAATGTTGGTTTTAGGGGTAGAAGATATAAGTCCAAGGAAAGTCATCAATATGATAAATGTGTGTGCATGTGTGTGTGTGTCTGTGTGTCTGTGTGTGTGATTTGCACATATGCTCACAAATATCTAATGCCATGGTTGTATCTAAAGATACAGCAGGAGAAAAGGATTTCATGTCCAATATGCTCTCTCTCTCTCTCTCTCTCTCTCTCTCTCTCTCTCTCTTGCGCACACTGACATTTCGGACATTCATTGACACAATGCAATCTCTAGCTACTTAACCAAACCCTACCCATCAGAACTAAGCGCCTCACCAAAACCCTTATCCTAAACCTAACCTTTACCCAATTAGCCTATAACCTGATCCCTAAAACCAAGTCTTGAACCTCAAACAGGCCTTTAAAGGGGTCTCAGAACGTGAGGACCGAATGCCAACATGTCGTCACTTTACTCTCTTTTTCCTCATTCCAGTGGCTTAAAACTTAAACCAGTCCTCACAAAGATAGCTGTATAAATACACACACACATTCCCTCTTCAATCCCCCCCGCCCATTTTGTTATCTGCCAGAGTTCCTTACTTCCAAATTTCCTAGTGCCCCTCATACAGTACAAACATATGTCAACACGCTTACACACACATAATCTCTCAGTGTGCTATGATTAATGTCTGTTCTCTGTCAGAGCATTGAAAAGGAAAGAGCAAGGCAAAAAGAGGGAGACCCACACTGTGTATAATCTCACATTAACATGGCAACCCAACGGATGCCAGGATCAGAATCGTCTCCACATGGGGCCATCCCACCCAAGGATGAGCATACCCCACCCTGGGCCCATTCTAAGGTTAATAAGCAAAGCAATTTTAATTCAAATGTGTATAGAACCATGAAGTCAACATGACTGTACTGCATTTTTTCTTACTAAAAAGGTTTGTGTTAATCCTAAAAACAGTCCCAGTCAGTGATGTGAGCCAGCAGGTACATGTGCTATGGCATGTTGCACAGAAATACATGGTAAAAATATGTGGACACCACCCTCTAATTGAAGTTTGGTTAATTTCTATGAGGACAAGTCTTTATACTATGTTATTGCTACAAGAGTATGTGCTTTCAACTTTGTTGCAATAGGGCCCTTTTAATCCCCTGTGCACAATGTATGGTCCATATAAAAATAGTTTACGGAGACTTGTGTGGAAGAACATGATTGGCTTGCACAAAGCCTAGACCTGACACCCATTGAACACCTTTGGAATGAATTTTAACACCGACTGCAAGCCCAGCCACAGTGATCAACAACAGTGACTGACCTCTCTGATGCTCTTTTGTTTGAATGGGAACAAGTCTCCACAGCCCCCATGTTCCAACATCTAGTAGAAAACCTTCCCAGAGGAACTGAAGCTGTTATAGCAGCGAAAGGGACAGATTAATACTTTTCGCCACGCTTTGGAAATTAAATGTTCAACAGGACACAAGAGCATCAGTGAGGTCAGACATTGAAGTTGGCTGTTCCAATTTATTCCGAAGGTCTTCAGTACAGGATCAGGTCTGGGTTTTTAATACAGGCCAGTCACGTTTTTCCACATCAGACATAGTAAATAATTTCTTTTATGGTCACGATTGCACAGTGTGATTGCAATTTTGGAGCAGAAAAGGCCCATCTCAAACTGTTGCATTAAAGTTTAAAGTACACAGTTCTCTAAAATGTCATTTGATTAAGATTTGTCTTCCCTAAAGTTACTGGAATTGCCAAACCCATTAAGTAAAAAAGGGTGTCCATATCCTTTTGACCATAGTTGATTTGTTGATGTTGATTTGGGGTATCTTGGAGACGAGTAGTATCTAAGTCACATCGATCTGTGCATGGAGTACCCCAGGGTTCAGTTCTAGGTCCTCTTCCATTCTTAATATAGGACCTGTTCTCTTCTGAATATACACAGCATCGCTGGGACTTATTATCCAGGTACATATTTTTTCTTTCAACTGTTACAACAATGGCACACAGCTCTACTTCTCGTTCCAGGCTGACAACTCCACAGTAGCTGCATGGATCTCAGACTGCCTGGTAGCCAATTTGGCCTAAATTATCGAAGGATATGTCCAACTCAATCTAGCAAAGACAGAGTTCTCTACTCTTATCAGTCAGTTGCAATTTCACCATTCAGCTAGACTCGTGTACAATAATGCATCCAGAACAACTGAACTTTACAGAGCGCATTGCAAAGATGACCAGGTCATGCAGATTTGCATTGAACAGATCTGGCCATTTCTATCTGAGCATGCTACACAGCACCTTGTTGTGGGTCTCGTGCATGTTACAACCCTCTTTGTCTTGCTTCACTGGCTGCCAGTTGTCTCTTATACCAAGACACTGATGCTCAGATATCTTTCACTATGTCTCACTTTCATCTCTAGTCTGTACTTCTCTGACTAACCTTGAAATTTGTATAGCAGCACGTCTCATATTACTGGCTCTTTAGGATGAATCACTTATTTTGTCTTCCAAGTCACTTCAGATAAAAGCTTCTGCCAATGAATAAATGGAAATGGAAGAGCTGGTGTATGTGCAAAGTTTGTGTCCAAACCCTTCCACCCCTCCCCCTACAAAATGACAATACCCCCAAAAAACAGTCACAAGATTCAATTATGTTTTCATTGCTCAAGCTGGCATGCATCATAGTCCTCTCTTATCTGTTTTTTGGTTGTTTGTTTATTTAAGGACTGCCATGGAATGTGAATATTGGTTAAATGAATTGGTTGTTGATTGGACGGAAGCAAGCTTGCAGTCAATTGAAGAAAGAGGCGGGTTTGTTGACTAAATTATTGAAGTCTGGCATACATCACCAAAGCTATGGAGTTCAAATTAAGTACAGTGCATACGGAAAGTATTCACAGCACTTCACTTTTTCCACATTTTGTTATGTTACAGCCT